GGATCTGGAGTATGGCTGAGAAGAAAAAGAAAAAGCCATCTCGACCACACTGTCTGCTCCCACCTTCTGCTACCAGACCCAGCTCCTAAGGAGACAGATCTCAGGCCAGGCCTGAGGCAGTGATGGTGTACTCCTAATAACCCTGCCAGTGAGAGCGTCCTCCAGGCACAGAGCAGCTGCAACCTACAAGGCTTTTGTTTTCTCCTTCCCACAGGTGTCAGCTCTCTGCAGGCCCCTCAGCTCTCCAGGCTCTCTGCCTCTCCGCCGGCCCCTCAGCGGAGCCCCGCCGGCCTGAGGAGACCCTGCGCCGGCCCCTCAGCGGAGCCCCGCCGGCCTGAGGAGACCCTGCGCCGGCCCCTCAGCGGAGCCCCGCCGGCCTGAGGAGACCCTGCGCCGGCCCCTCAGCGGAGCCCCGCCGGCCTGAGGAGACCCTGCGCCGGCCCCTCAGCAGAGCCCCGCCGGCCTGAGGAGACCCTGCGCCGGCCCCTCAGCGGAGCCCCGCCGGCCCCTCCGCCCAGTCCCGCCGGCCTGAGGAGACCCTGCGCCGGCCCCTCCGCCCAGCCCCGCCGGCCTGAGGAGACCCTGCGCCGGCCCCTCCGCCCAGCCCCGCCGGCCTGAGGAGACCCTGCGCCGGCCCCTCCGCCCAGCCCCGCCGGCCTGAGGAGACCCTGCGCCGGCCCCTCAGCGGAGCCCCGCCGGCCTGAGGAGACCCTGCGCCGGCCCCTCAGCGGAGCCCCGCCGGCCTGAGGAGACCCTGCGCCGGCCCCTCAGCGGAGCCCCGCCGGCCCCTCCGCCCAGCCCCGCCAGCCTGAGGAGACCCTGCGCCGGCCCCTCAGCGGAGCCCCGCCGGCCTGAGGAGACCCTGCGCCGGCCCCTCCGCCCAGCCCCGCCGGCCTGAGGAGACCCTGCGCCGGACCCTCTGTATACCCGGACCCCATACCTAAGCCCTGCTTGCTTCCTCACCCTTGCCTCACCCCTCCCGTGCTCTGCTCCACAAGCCCCGCCCCCGCGCCGCTGACTTCCTCGCCCCAGCCTCACCCCTCCCGTGCTCTGCTCCACAAGCCCCGCCCCCGCGCCGCTCTCTTCCTCGCCCTAACCCCACCCCTCCCGTGCTCTGCTCCACAAGCCCCGCCCCCGCGCCGCTGACTTCCTCGCCCCAGCCTCACCCCTCCCGTGCTCTGCTCCACAAGCCCCGCCCCCGCGCCGCTCTCTTCCTCGCCCCAGCCTCACCCCTCCCGTGCTCTGCTCCACAAGCCCCGCCCCCGCGCCGCTCTCTTCCTCGCCCCAGCCCCACCCCTCCCGTGCTCTGCTCCACAAGCCCCGCCCCCGCGCCGCTCTCTTCCTCGCCCCAGCCCCACCCCTCCCGTGCTCTGCTCCACAAGCCCCGCCCCCGCGCCGCTCTCTTCCTCGCCCTAACCCCACCCCTCCCGTGCTCTGCTCCACAAGCCCCGCCCCCGCGCCGCTGACTTCCTCGCCCCAGCCTCACCCCTCCCGTGCTCTGCTCCACAAGCCCCGCCCCCGCGCCGCTCTCTTCCTCGCCCCAGCCTCACCCCTCCCGTGCTCTGCTCCACAAGCCCCGCCCCCGCGCCGCTGACTTCCTCGCCCCAGCCTCACCCCTCCCGTGCTCTGCTCCACAAGCCCCGCCCCCGCGCCGCTGACTTCCTCGCCCCAGCCTCACCCCTCCCGTGCTCTGCTCCACAAGCCCCGCCCCCGCGCCGCTCTCTTCCTCGCCCTAACCCCACCCCTCCCGTGCTCTGCTCCACAAGCCCCGCCCCCGCGCCGCTGACTTCCTCGCCCCAGCCTCACCCCTCCCGTGCTCTGCTCCACAAGCCCCGCCCCCGCGCCGCTCTCTTCCTCGCCCCAGCCTCACCCCTCCCGTGCTCTGCTCCACAAGCCCCGCCCCCGCGCCGCTGACTTCCTCACCCCAGCCCCACCCCTCCCGTGCTCTGCTCCACAAGCCCCGCCCCCGCGCCGCTCTCTTCCTCGCCCCAGCCCCACCCCTCCCGTGCTCTGCTCCACAAGCCCCGCCCCCGCGCCGCTCTCTTCCTCGCCCCAGCCCCACCCCTCCCGTGCTCTGCTCCACAAGCCCCGCCCCCGCGCCGCTCTCTTCCTCGCCCCAGCCCCACCCCTCCCGTGCTCTGCTCCACAAGCCCCGCCCCCGCGCCGCTCTCTTCCTCGCCCTAGCCCCACCCCTCCCGTGCTCTGCTCCACAAGCCCCGCCCCCGCGCCGCTGACTTCCTCGCCCTAACCCCACCCCTCCCGTGCTCTGCTCCACAAGCCCCGCCCCCGCGCCGCTCTCTTCCTCGCCCTAGCCCCACCCCTCTCGTGCTCTGCTCCACAAGCCCCGCCCCCGCGCCGCTCTCTTCCTCGCCCTAACCCCACCCCTCCCGTGCTCTGCCACACAAGCCCCGCCCCTACACCACTCACTTCCTCACCTTAACCCCACCCCTCTCGTGCTCTGCCACACAAGCCCCGCCCCTGGGCCAATCACTTCCTTGCTCTTGTCCCGCCCCTCCTGTTCTCTGGTCTTCCACAGGTCCCGCCCCTGCTCTGCTCACTTCCTTACCCTTGCCCACCCCCTGCTCCACTCACTTCCTTGCTCTTCCCCACCCCTCTGGTGGAGTGCTCCCCCACAAGTCCCGTCCCGACTGCTCATTTCCGTGCTCCTGCCCTGCCCCTCCTTGTTCTGCTCTTCCACAAGCTCCCCCCTCCCCCCCGCCCCCCCCCCCCCCCCCCCGCCACTCACTTCCGAGTTCTTGCCCCACCCCACCTGTGCTCTGCTCCTTCCACAAAACCAGAGGGTACAGTGACCCCTGATTCCCACCAGAGGGTGCTGTGCCTGTGCACACCATCCTCCTCTCCTCAGGACCCGGGGTGCAGTGACCGCTGATTCCCACCAGATGGTGCTGTGCCTGTGCACACCATCCTCCTCTCCTCAGGACCCGGGGTGCAGTGACCGCTGATTCCCACCAGATGGTGCTGTGCCTGTGCACACCATCCTCCTCTCCTCAGGACCCGGGGTGCAGTGACCCCTGATTCCCACCAGATGGTGCTGTGCCTGTGCACACCATCCTCCTCTCCTCAGGACCCGGGGTGCAGTGACCCCTGATTCCCACCAGATGGTGCTGTGCCTGTGCACACCATCCTCCTCTCCTCAGGACCCGGGGTGCAGTGACCCCTGATTCCCACCAGATGGTGCTGTGCGTGTGCACACCATCCTCCTCTCCTCAGGACCCGGGGTGCAGTGACCCCTGATTCCCACCAGATGGTGCTGTGCCTGCACACCATCCTCCTCTCCTCAGGACCTGGGGTGCAGTGACCCCTGATTCCCACCAGATGGCACTCTAGGTGTGTGTACTGTCCTCTCCTCAGGACCCGGGGTGCAGTGACCCCTGATTCCCACCAGATGGCACTCTAGGTGTGTGTACTGTCCTCTCCTCAGGACCCGGGGTGCAGTGACCCCTGATTCCCACCAGATGGCACTCTAGGTGTGTGTACTGTCCTCCTCTCCTCAGGACCCGGGGTGCAGTGACCCCTGATTCTCACCAGATGGCACTCTAGGTGTATGTACTGTCCTCCTCTCCTCAGGACGAGAGGGTGCAGTGACCCCTGATCCCCACCAGATGGTGCTCTAGGTATGTGCACCATGTTTCTCTTCTCAGAACTTGGAATGCAGTGATCACTGATTCCCACCAGATGGTGCTATAGCTGTGTGCACCCAGGACCCCCAGGCCACCCACAAGCACCGCCCCTGGACCACTCATTTCCACGCCCTTGATCCTCCCTTCTGGTGCTCTGTCCCCCCACAAGCCCTGCCACTGAATTGCTCTCTTTTGCGCTCTTGCCCCAACCCTCTCAAGCTTTTTTTTTTTGGTCAGTCATGGGGCCTGAACACTGGGCCTGGGCACTGTCCCTTAGCTCTTCAGCTGAAGGCTAGCACCCTTACCACTTGAGCCACAGTGCCATTTCTGGCTTTTTCTGCTTATGTGGTGCTGAGGAATCGAACCCAGGGCCTCATGCATGTGAGGCAAGCACTCTACCACTAAGCCCACTTCCCAGCCCCACTCTCAAGCTTTGCCCCCCACAAGCCCCACCCCTGGGCCACTCACTTCCTCATTCTTGCCCTGCCCCTCTCACGTTCTGCTCCCCACAGCCCTGTCCCTGGACTGCTCACTTCTGTGCTCTTGCCCCTCCCTTCTGTCCCACCCCTGAGGTGTTCCGCTCCTCCTACTACCCTGTAGCTGCAACTACTTCTGCCCAGGACACAGGAAAACTTGAAGCCCTGAGGAAGTGTCCCAATGTCTTAGTGCCAGAGACAGACTGGCCTCTGTGTGGGCCTGCTCTAAACTTTAGTGCCCCGAGTCCCAGAGCAGTCTCGTCCCAGCTCTCACTGAATTACCAGTGTCAGCTCAGGCCCAGCAGTGATCTGCTGGGTGCCAGGAAGGAGATGGGTCCCCAGAGGTGCCATGAGGTCAGTAGGGAGGTAGAGGCTGCCGGCAGAAACAGGAACCTTGTAATGGGTTGTGTTCCCAAAGTTCATATATGGACACTCTCATCATCCGGTACCTATGAATGTGACCTTATATGGAAATGGGCTCTTGGCAGGTGATCAACTTCAGTTCCTGTTGTTAGGGTCATCCCTAACCCACTATTATTATTCCCCTAAAAGGGGGAAATTGGGTTGCAGAAATCTACACAGGGATGATACCCTGGAGAGACTTCACTCTGCTCTCACAATGGAGTTCTAAACAGAAAGACATGCCCTGGTGCAGTTGTTCACATTGGCCACAGGTGGCCATGTAAGGAACTGCCTATGGTGGTAGGGACAAACACTGTTCATTTGGGATGTGAGCAAATAATACAAGAAATATGTCTTTCATCCTTCCCTAGCTCTGAAACTGCCTTTTGTGTTTCCTATAAATGCATTCACTCTGTTCACTGGACAGCCATGAAAACCAGAAGCAAAAGCATTTTCACAAATTCTAACTCAAAAACTGTAATCACAGTTTCATAGCCTTTATTTATGACACAGAAGATAAGGCTTGTTTTCTTCCCTTGTGCGTCTCAGGTTTGGGTCTTAGGCTTGTCTTTGTGAACATCACGGCAACTAAAAAGGAGAAATGTTAAGTTTACCAATATCTTGTTTAGCTCCACTCCAGCATCCAAACAATAAGCTTTCTCCTTGAATCAATCAATTAATTGTACAAAAGAGTTTCTTTCAGATAGTCACATAGCTGCAGACAGTATGTGTTTTTAAGCAAATCACCCTATGCTCTCTGAGTACCCATGAACTTTGATCGTGTTATTTGCACAGCCCCCTCTTCTTTACCTCCTCCTCCCTCCTGCTGACTCACCCACCAGGTCCTTATTTTACACTCATGTTTTATCATGATCATCATATTAGGTTTAGATTCTACATAAAAACCAAAATGTGACATTTGGCTTTTGGAGCTTGGCTTACTCACTGAACAGGATGGTCTCCAGTTCAGTCCAACCCAGGCCTCAGATCTGAGCTTCGTCATCCAGAAAATTACTGTTTAGTATAAGAAGTAGCTCAAATTTCAGATAGCCATGGAAACAGGGAAACAGAATTGATAGTGAGAGAATAATAAAATTAAGTGCTGTGGAAGGTTGAAGGAAATACGTGGTTTAGGCAGAGTAGGGAGGGAAGTTAGTGGAAGAAATGGAAAATAATTAAACCCGATGGAAAGTTTCACTGTCCCAGACACTGACTGTCCCCTTCTTTTCCTGGCTAATTAACATCAGGTGTGCAGTGTGTGCTGTGGCAGACACCGTATAGCCTCTATCACCTCAGGTGATTTCTAGTGTAGTGCTATGAAGTTGGTGTCATTATTCCCATTTTTTTCATAGGTCACTGAAGCTTAGGTTTAGCAAAATGCTTAGGGTCACGCTGCAGGTATGCAGCAAGTATGCAGGTTTGTGTGATATCACAAGTAATTGCTCTGGTATCTGTCTTTCAAGTATTCTGTATTTTAGTTATCAAGCTCCATGTGATCAGAAAATAAACACAAGATACACCAGACTTTTGTTGCTCAGATCTGCTTGTCTTAGTTAATTCTTGTCACCTAACTTTATCCTGCAGCCATATCAATGTTTCCATTAAGAAAAAGGCCCTATGCAGGCAGTTTGGCTCCGGTATTTGATAATAAAGACTGATAATGATAAATTTATAGAAATCCTGGTGCAAAATAAAAGGACAGCGCCTACACATTGTCTACCAGGATTTTTATCCCTTTTATGTCTTTTGTATTTTGAGCTCCTGAAATTAGCATGTTTAGCTGTGTTCATTTGCAAACCTCACTACAGTGTTATGGCTTAATAAATGCTTTATTAATTTCTTTATTGTTGTTACAAAGGTGATGTACAGAGGGGTTACAATTTTATAAGTCAGGTAAAGAGTACTTTTTTTTTATTTTGTCATTCATAGGGCTTGAACTCTGGGCCTGGGCGCTGTCCCTGTGCTCTTCAGCTCAAGGCTAGTGCTCTACCACTTGAGGCACAGCACCAATTCTGGTTTTCTGGTGGTTAACTGGAGATAAGAGTCTCACAGACTTTCCTGCTGGGGCTAACTTTGAACTGTGATCCTCATATCTCAGCCTCCTGAGTAGCCAGTATTACAGGCGTGAGCCACCAGCACCTGGCTCAGACATTTACTTTGTATGTTGATTTTTTTTTTTCCCGGTTGTGGGGCCAGAACTCTGGGCCTGGGCGCTGTCCCTCAGCTCTTCAGCTCAAGGTTAGCGCTCTACCACTTGAGACACAGCACCACTTTCAGCTTTTTCTGTTTATGTGGTGCTAAGGAATTGAACTCAGGGCCTCGTGCATGCAAGGCAAGCACTTTACCACCGAGCCACCTTCCCAGCCTTACATATTTCTTAAAAGACAGAGTCAACAATTTGATTTACAAATTAACTATCACAAGATACTTCTTTAATACTTAAAATTTTAATTTCATAGTATTGACAGATTTCTTTTAGATTTACTTACACGTTCCAATGGATATGCTAGTGACTTCTTTATTAAAACTGGATGGCATTCACAGTTGCTCAGAATCCTTTTTCAACTCAGACCATCAGGTGAGGATGACTGGCTTACAGATATAGCTCAGTGATTGCTTAGCTTTCCTTGGGCCCTGTGTTCAATCCACAGTGCACAAGAAGACACACACAAAAACAATATAGAGTATGGATGATGTGGCATTTCTCACAAGAATGTCTTGCTGTTCTGCAGGTCTCCATGCTAAACATTCTTGATCTTACTAGAAAGATTATCAAAATAATTTTAGTCTCAGTTATGCATGCAAAGAGGAAAACAATTTTGCCAATGTGATAAGCCATGGCTTATCGCAACCAAAAGCCATAGAATAATGTCACAGCACTTTGCTTCTGTCTTTGAACAGTACTGGACAATTGATAAACATTTGCTACATTACAGCTGTCAGCAATACTACTCAGGAAACACACTGTAAATGTGCATTTGGAATAACTAAGGTGAGAAATGACACCCTCAGTTATTAGGGTATTTTAGAAATGTGTATCTGTTTGATCTCAAACAAGCAGAAAATTCAGAAAACAATTTTAATAATAAATTATGTAGTAGTTATGTTGTACTAACCTTGCTTTAACTGTCATGACTCTGTATTTTAGTCCTTTTGCATCTAAGACTTCTCTGCTTTTTAAAAAATGGATCTTAAGGGCTGGGAAGGTGGCTCAGTGGCAGAGTGCTTGCCTTGCATGCCTGAGGCCCTGGGTTTGATTCCTCAGCACCACATAAGCAAAAATAAAAAAGCTGGAAGTGGCGCTGTGGCTCAAGTGGTAGAGTGCTAGCCTTGAGCTGAAGAGCTGAGGGACAGCGCCCAGGCCCAGAGTTCAGGCCCCACGACCGGACCCCCCAAAAAAATGGATCTTAGTTTTAGGGTAGTTTTAGGTTCACAGAATAGCAGAGTGAGAAGTACAGTGAGCTTTCAAAAATCCCTGCACAGCTTCTCCCAATACAACTACATCAGAAACATATGCTTAGTACAACTGATGACCCAACATTGATACATCATCATCCTGAGACCATAGTTTACATCAGGATTCACTCTTGTCCACTGTATAGGTTATACAACTGCATGACACTGATCTACCATTATATGTCATACAGAATATTTTCCCTATCCTAAAATCATCTGTCCTCACTCTATTCCTCCTTTGGTCCCCACCTTTTCCTGACCACATCTGAACATTTTACTCTCTCCATAGCTTTGCCTTTTCCAAAATACATATTTTGGGGACCACACAGTGGTGCAGATTAGCTTTATAAAAATTCAGTAATATGCAGTTAGTTTTTTCTTATGTCTTTCCATGACTTAATACTTCTGCACAATGACAATAACAGTAGTGGTGATATTAGACGGTGATCTTAGAGGGTGAGGGTGTCATGCTAGGGATGGTATCACAAGCCTTTCGTCTCAGCACTTGATGCACAGAGGCAACATGCACCAAAGAATCGAGGCCAGCTTAGGCTACATAGAGAGACTCTGTCTCAAAAACAGAGAATCAACCCTGGGTCAGTTCTAGGGACCTTGCACTCACACTGTACTAAATCTCCATGCAAGTATCAATGTTTTTGTTTTGTTTTTGTCAGTCATGGAGCTTGAACTCTGGGCCTGGGCACTGTCCCTGTGCTCTTCAGCTCAAGAATAACACTCTACCACTTGAGCTACGGCGCCACTTCTGGTTTTTGGTGGCTATCTGGAGATAAGAGTCTGGTGGACTTTCCTGCCCTGGCTGGCTTTGAACAGCCATCCTCCAATCTCAGATTCCTGAGTAGCTAGGATGACAGGTGGGAGCCACCAGCATCTGACTGTGTCAATTTTTTTTTTTTTAATGCAAACCTCACCTTCAAAATTAACAGCTTCCTTTGGCATTTAAAAGTTCGAGGTTGTTTAAAGGTTGAGTGAAATTCCTAAGCCTGTTAACTGGTTACAGTCTGCCAACTCTCATAATTAGCATAAGACCACTGTGTTGTGTAAATGCCATTCTGTATTCAACAATGACTAACTGATCCATTTCAGATGTTTACTTAGGAAGGGGGGCATTTATCCACAATCAATGTTTCTGGGCATTTAACATATATTGAGTACTGAGAAACAGAGTGAGTGAAGGCCCAGAAGACCCATTCCTCTGCTCCTTCCTCAACACTCTCCACCCATCCCCATGATGACGCCTAACTAAGTCTCTTGTGGCCTTTGAGCTGCATGACCTTGAGAAGGTCACTTCCTCACTTAGAGCTTGGGAACTCTGAATTGGGCATCAACAGAGTTCCTTTGTAACGCTGAGGTTTAGTGACTGGGTTAAGACAAAATATCTTGTTCCTTGTGGACTTCAAACATCTTATTCTTTATCCCAAATCTCAACAATGGACAGATGCCAGACTATAGAAACTGTCCCAATTTCTAGCAGCTATCTATATGATAGACCAAAGATATGTATGGAGTAACAATCAGAAAAGTGGACAGACAATACAACTCATCAGCAGACATGCAAGGCTAAATATCTGTCATGTGATAGCCATGTTCAATAATGTTATTTTTTAGTAAGAACATTAAAATGTATTTGGAGATAGAATGAGTACAGGTAGTGGCTGAAATAGTTGGTAAATTGATAAGATGTACAAACTTGTAGAATGAAAAGGGAGGAAAATTAATGTTGGGTGCTGTGGATATGAATGAACTCCAAGAAGGGCCTCTGGGCAGCAGAAACACTGAAGCAGGATAGACTAGGAAAAATGAGGTATGGCAAATGGCAGGAATTTAAAAACTCAGTTTAAAGCAAATATAGGAGACTGATCCTCACCCATCAACTTCCCTTAAGATTAAGGGACCAAAGTCATTTTAGGGGAAAATTAGACAGGATACACTAGGGAAAGTAAGGTAAATGGCATCTAAGAATTTAGAAAGCAGCCCGGTGCCGGTGGATCACGCCTGTAATCCTAGCTACTCAGGAGGCTGAGATCTGAGGATCAGGGTTCAAAGCCAGCCCGGGCAGGAAAGTCAATGAGACTCATCTCCAATAAACCACTAGAAAACTGGAAGTGATGCTGTGGCTCAAGCGGTAGAGCACACACACGCCTTGGGCTAAAGAGCTGAGAGACAGCGCCCAAGCCCAGAGTTAAAGTCCCAGGACTGACAAAAAGAAAAAAGAAAAGAAAAAGAATTTAGAAAATATATAGCACTATCGTCTTAGTTTTAACCCTTGGATTCCTTCAAAACTCCTGGAACAAAGTGCTTACCTCAAAGGACGAGCACTATGGCAGGACACATTCTATCTCCAGGATAAACACCAGTTTTAAAATACATGGCAGAAAGCATTCTTTCCTAAAAGGGATGCCCAAACATACTGGTTATTTATTTAAAGTGCAGGTTGGTTTCAGAGATCCTGAGCCCAAGTGGTAGCAGAGCAACACCAAGAGTAATTAGAACAAAGATAAACGGCCTTCTGCATGACTTTAAGTCAGACCCCCTTTATCATATAAATATCCTGATGTCAAAGAGCACAGTGTGTGTGTCTCCCTCTGAGAAGACCCACCCTGGTAGAGTGTGCCTGTGCCCTTCTGCTTGTCTGCTTGTCTGTCTGCTTGTCTGCTTGTCTGTCTGCTTGTTTACTTATTCTACAAAGCTCTGCCAGGTTTTCTTCCCATTGAGGCTTCTCCAGAAATCATGCCATCAAAGCCAAGAACCCTAAGTGAAGATTCCCTGCTTTTAAAAGGGAGCTTTGCAAACCCTCATCTGCACTGCTGACCATCCCTTACCTGCTGACCATCCCTCACCTGCTGACCGTCCCTCACCTGCTGACCGTCCCTCACCTGCTGACCATCCCCTGTCTGCTGACCATCCCCTGCCTGCTGACCGTCCTCACCTGGTGACCGTCCTCACCTGCTGACCATCCTCACCTGGTGACCGTCCCCTGCCTGCTGACCATCCCTGCCTACTGACCATCCCTCACCTGCTGACCATCCTCACCTGGTGACTGTCCCTCACCTGCTGACCATCTACTGCCTGCTGACCATCCTCACCTGGTGACCATCCTTGCCTGCTGACCATCCTCACCTGGTGACCGTCCTTGCCTGCTGACCGTCCTCACCTGGTGACCGTCCCTCACCTGCTGACCATCCTCACCTGCTGACCATCCTCACCTGGTGACCGTCCCTCACCTGCTGACCATCCTCACCTGCTGACTATCTCTCACCTGCTGACCGTCCCCTGCCTGCTGACCATCCTCACCTGGACCGTCCTTGCCTCTGACCATCCTCACCTGCTGACCATCCCTCACCTGCTGACCATCCTCACCTGTTGACCGTCCCTCACCTGCTGACCATCCTCACCTGCTGACCGTCCCTTACCTACTGACTGTACCCTGCATGCTGACCATCCCCTGCCTGCTGACCATCCCTCACCTGCTGACCATCCTCACCTGGTGACTGTCCCTCACTTGCTGACCATCCTCACCTGCTGACCATCCCTCACCTGCTGACCATCCCCTGCCTGCTGACCATCCTCACCTGGGCACGGGGTGCTCTGAGCGCTGCCCTCGAGAAGTGTCGGAGGGAGGCTGAGCCGCCCTTGGTCTTGAACCTGCAGAAAGCGTGGCCCGTGGACGCGGTTCCGGTGAGAGGTGGCCGGCCTGGCCCGGGCGGACATCGCTCGGTCCGTGGGGGCCCGGCCCGGCCTGCGGCCGATGCGCGGCGCTCTCTTTCCTCGCGCTACCCTCCGCGTGTCCCGCCTCGGCCACGCGTTCCACGTCCGGTCTCCACTTTGGGACCACGCTGGCCTCTGGACCCCTTCGTTAGCGGTGGCGGCGGCCGGCGGACCCGCCCGTCCCAGCGGGGGCTGCGCCCGCCGCGCTCGGGTCGCCCACAGCCCCGGGCGCTCCGGGAGGACGGCGCCGACCACGGCCGGGCCGCTCCTTCGCACGCGCCCCCTTCGCCCTGGGAAGACCGAGGACAAGGTGACACCCGGCAGAAGCGCCCGTGCGGCCGCCGCGCCCGCTCCCCTCGGGTCTCACGCACCCGCGCGGGAGGCCTCCCGGAAGCCTGGCTCCCGCACGGGCCTGGGCGGGGCGGGGAACTCCTCCAAGTCCTCAGTGCGCGGGCCGGAGCCGCCCGAGCTGTCCGGAGCCGGCCCGCCCGGGCCTCGGGCGAAAGACGCGGGCCGAGGCGAGGGGGGCGGCCGCCCGGTCCCGGCCGGCGCGCTCCGCCCGCGCCGCCCGCGCCGCCCGCCCGGGACCGCGGCGCGGCCGCCGCATGCTAAGTGGGCAGCCCGGACGCCTTTGTTCCCGGCCTCTCTCCGGACCGGGAGGGCTCCGGGCCGCCCGGCCCCGCGCAGCGTCCCGACAGCGGTGCGGCGCCGGGGCGCTCGCCCGCGCGGAGGGGGTGTGTCCGGGGAGCACCTGCGCAGGCTCCGGGGGCGCCCGCCCGCTTCCCGCCCGCGGCCCGCCCGCGGCCCGCCGGCCTCCGGCGCCCGGTCGGGTCGGAGCGGGGCGGGGTGGGGGGTCCCGCGGCCGCGGCGCCAAGTCTCGCGGTGCTACGGCTCGGACCCGGGAGCGGCGGGCCGGCCCCCGCCGCGCGACAAAGGCCGAGCCGGAGGCGGCCGGGCCGGGGCGGGGCGGGAGGGCGGGGGGCGCCGGGGAGCGGCGGGGAGCGGCGGGGACCGCGGAGGCGCCGCCCGCCCGCGCCCTCCTTTGTGTGCGCGGCCGCGGCCGCCGCGCTGGGCCTGCGCCGGGCGGCGGGACCGCGCGCCGGGCTCCGCCGCGCCCCGGGGCGCCGGTCCGCGCCCGCAAGATGGCAACGCCGGCGGCCGTCAACCCTCCGGGTGAGTAGCGGCCGCGGCCCCGGCCCCGCCGGCGGCCGGCGCTGGTGCAGCGCGGCGCCCGGGGACCGCGGGCGGCGGCGGCAGCGGGCGGCGGCGTCTTCGCCCGGTCTCGCCGGTCCCACCCCGGGTCCGGGCGGCGTGGCGCGGGGCCCCGCGGGGCCCGGCCGGCCCGCAGCCCGGGCCGCATTCGGGACGACCTCCTTTGCCCCTCGCCCCCGCCCCGGCCGGCCCCTCCCCGGGAAGCGCGGGGTCGGGCCGCCGTGCGCATGGTGGGTCCCGCGCGGACGGACGGAGAGGTCCGGAGCCGGGAGCCCACAGGTGGGACCCCGGCTTCGCCCCCCAAGTCCTGGGCGGGACGGAGCGAGTGTGGCGGGCGCTGGCGCTCACCTGTCCGGGCCGCGCCGCCGTCCGGCAGGCCGCACACGCGGGCAGCGGCCCGGGCCGCCTGGCTGCTTAGGGACCGCAGCAGAGGAACCCCGTTCAGCCGCGGAGCTCCGTGCCCGCCGGAGACGGGTGGGCGCGAGTGCTGCGGGCCGAGGCTCGGGCTGGGCGCGCGGACACACGGGGGGCGACCTGGAGACGTTAGGCCGAGGAGCCGGCGTCCCGTCCGTCGGCGGCGGTCAGCGGAGGCGGGGTGTCTGGCAGAGGACCTTCGCGGGTGCAAGTCCGGAGGGCTTGGCTCCAGGCATGGGCGGGGTCGCCGAGGGGCTGGGCCCCGGGGCTTGGGGCCTCGAGCCCGTGAGATGGACTGCCTCTCCACAGTGGTGACAGCAGAGAAGTCCCAGGATCAGGGAGGATTCGCCAGCCACTCTAGACAACCTAGACAAAAGGTTGCATGCCAGGAGGTGGGGAGGCAGGGCTTACACGAGGTCAGGCGGAACGACAGGGCCGCGAACACGAGACCAGGGAGAAGCATGGGCCACAGGAGTCCAGAGTTGGTGTGAGGACAAAGGAGGAGGCCAAGGAGACAAGAGGCAGGTGCCTGTGGTGTGGAGGGCCAATAACAGAAGCAGCTGCCACTTGGTTGAGCAACTTCAACCTGCTTAACTTTCTAGAAATTAACAGAAAACACATAGATTTGAATGTAGTGAAAGTTGGAAAAAACAAAGTTAATGCAAATACTTTAGGGTTACATTGGAAAAAGGAATAAAATTTCAAGTGCTTTGCACGGTCCCTATTCTATTTCACCACTGCTGCAAACTGTTCTGCCCATCCCGTTGGCCGTGGGCTGCAGATGGAGCATCTGCTGGGTGCAGTGGCGCCCAGCACTCCAAGCCCGGTCTGGGGACTTGTCATCCAAGTCAGTGCCTGTTCGGCTTGACACACAGTGATATCTCCATCTTTTCTCTTGACAGAGCTACTGGAGATCTTGGCATGATGAGTACTTACCAGCTGACAGTTCTTTGAAGTGATCACCTTTTCTGTGAAACTGGCTCCTATGGCAGCAGCATGGATAGGGATGTGTTGTTCTTGCCACATGGGAGTCTCCAGCTTCTTGGCAACAAAGTCTCAAGGGATAGCTCCAAGAAGGAGATTTCAGATTTCCTAAACAACAAGGAGAACAGGACACCTGAGCTAGCCGCTCACTCTCATCTGCAGGGGTCACATGACATTTCTCTAACTTCTTCCTCAACCTCCTTTCTAGATACTGTTGCTTTGCACAGAGTAAGAGCTTAGTAAACACAGCTAAATGAACTGAGAGGCACCAGGACTTATTTCTGCTAGTACTTTGAGCTCAGGGTGCAAAGGCCACCTCCCAAACTCCCATTTGTTTTTTCTCTAGCTGATCACTACACACCCACAACTTCATTGCAGGGGCCCTACTCTGCGGCACGGTGGTGGCGCTCCGGGAGTTGGTGATGGTCCGAGGTGAAGCGGGGCCTCACAGCCTCATGTTTCTTACTTGGTGTGAGCCAGGTTTCAAAACTCGCTCATCTGCTCCATCTAGGTCTCCAATGTTGGATTTAGGTTAGAATTCCATCAACTACTTATGGTAGGAGAAGTCCCTAGAGGAAAAAGAGATTGATTCCCAGCTCTTCCCATGGGTCTTGCTGCTGTGCCTCCTATGGTTGAAAATACTTCCTGACTTCTGGGTCATTTCCAGTCCTTACAAGGGTCTCCAGTACTTTCACACTAGTAGATTTTCTCTGTTGTTTCTGTTCAGGGATAATTCTAGACCAGAGAACTCTTTTTTCCTGTCTTGTATGTTAACTCTTCCCCTTCCTGTGTGCTCCCATCTTTGTGATGCATTTACCATGAGTCATTCTCTACAACCAGGCACACGGCAGCAAGCATAATATCTTAAAACCTCCTGAATTGTGAGCTATTTAAACCTCTTCAATAAGCTACCAGTTTCAGATATTTTATAACTACAAAAAGGGGACTAGTACCGGACTTTATAGCATGTCTTCATTTTTTCTCTTAAGAATCTGCATGTAAATTTTCTCTTTCAGCAAACTGATGGTTCACTGTTTTTAGTGCTGAATAAAATTTTAATATTAACCGGGCGCTGGTGGCTCCTGCCAGTAATTGTAGCTACTCAGGAGGCTGAGATCTGAGGTTTGTGGATCAAAGCCAGCCCCAGACAGGACAGGCTATGAGACTCTTATCTCCAATAAACCACTCAGAAAAATCCAGAAGTGGCATTGTGTCTCCAGTGGTAGAGCACTAGCCTTGAGCACAAAAAGGCTCAGGGACAGGACCTAGGCCCTGAGTTCAAGCCCCACAACCAACCAAAAAAAATTGCCATTAGATGTACTTAACAAAGGGCACATCAGTTGTTTCTAAGTTGTGGCGATGATAGCTGTTACTGACCAATATTTACTGAGCAACTACCACGTGTCAGATACTGATATTGTTTCTGGGGTTGTGATGATAGAAAAATTGGTTCAGCCACTGTTATCAGGTAGTAAGCTAGGTAGTCACAAAAGGACCATGTTATTAATAAAGTGTCTCAAGCCTATGAAGAAATGATTCCCGAGACAGAACCAAAGGTACTAATTTACATTAGAATTTGTTAAAGGCCGTTTGAAGTCGGCAGAGACTTGTGTGAGGAGTTGATATTTAAGTCAAACTCTCAAGGATGAAGAGAAATGTAAGGAAGAGCATTCTAAGTACAGGGAGGAGATCCTGTAGAGGCCTGCAAGTGGGACAAGGTAGGCGATCTAGAACCACCAGAAAGGGCAATGTGGCTAGAAGATGTGGCCCCGTGAGAAGGCATGAGCAGCTGGAGATGTGGGCCAGAGCTTAGCTCATAGAATGCCCTGGTCTGGGTTTACGAGTTCCCATTGGCCGCTAAAGGCAGTGAAAAGCCATTTAAGAACAGAGCAAGGAAGAATCATGGTCCAGTATGCACTTGTGACACTTCCTGTGGATAGTGTGGCAACCATTCGGAGGGAGGCTCTGGAGTAGCAAGGTGCCGTAAGGTGCCGTGGGAGAAGTAGATGCATTGTGGGGGGGTGGGGGGGGACACTGCGAAATAACTCTATGGCCCCGGTGATGTCCTGTCCTCCCTTGAAGCTGAGCAAGGCACGTGTTTGTTAGGTAACATCCTGACCTTATAGCCAAGTGTTATAGAGAGAGGTGAAGTAGGGCCCGCAGACTGTCTTGACAGCTGGGTGGCTGGAGGTGATGGACAGGCAAGGTGTAAGTGGTCCAGCAGAATACATTCAAGACTTCAGTATCAGTCACTGTCTGTTGTTACCCTTCATCTTCCTCCTGGGGCGGAACCGCAAGTCCCCAGCCAAACAGCCTACCCTCTTTAGGGACTGGGGCGCCTAGGGCCAGGTAATCCTAGCCTTTCCTGCCTGCATTTTATGCCATTAGACAGGTCATGTCTCAATCTGTTTCCGGATTCAAGAAGTCTTAATAATGGAGAATGATACTTGCTTTTCTGAGTTGGCAATCCCTGATTTCTTTTTTTTTTTTTTTTTTGGGGGGAGGGTCCGATCGTGGGGCCTGAACTCTGGGCCTGGGCGCTGTCCCTTAGCTCTTCAGCTCAAGGCTAGCTCTCTACCACTTGAGCCACAGCGCCACTTCTGGCTTTTTTCTTTCTGCTTATGGGGTGCTGAGGAATCAAACCCAGGGCCTCATGCACGTAAGGCAAGCGCTCTACCACTGAGCCACCTTCCCAGCCCACAATCCCTGATTTCTTTGTACAGCTCTAGAACAGTTTGGGAGCATCTGCAAGTGGGTCTGGGAAACTATCAAGGCTTAGGTGGTCGAAGGAAAGACAGAGAGGCAGCATGGCCTGGGAGCAATCAGGAGAACACATCTGGGGGGAGAGCAGCATAGAGATTTGCCTGAGTTGAAGCCAAGAATTTTGGGAACTCCCAGAATTTGGGAACACCACTTAAGAAGTCAGTGTACTTGTTAAAAGACTGAAGGGAGGTCAGGAAAGGTACGTGCAGTCCCCTGTATAGACATTAGAACATGAGCTTCACTGTAGCCGTCAACATGCCTGAAACTGTGCTCCATTTTTTTTAAAAATTCATACGTATGCAGTGGCATCTCTTTTTCTGTATAAATGGACCTCTGTGTCAGGTTAGCAGGGTATCTGAGAAGCCTGAGCTTCAAGGCTCAGGTGTGTCTAAATGGTGCTTCTCAGCTCTCTGGGAACATTCTTAGTTGTCACATCTCTAGGTCTTGTCCTCCAGGCTTGGGTGGACAGAGGCCAATATGTTGCTCTGTAAATGGGCATCCCCTCCCATGATTTGTATTTGATGCCCCTCTGGTGGAGTCATATGCCGCCTGAGCTGAGGTTGGTGAACTCTGATTTAGGGAACAGAGGATTTTACAGTACTGGGGGCAATGACAACTGCAAAAGACACCAAGGGGTTCTGCTATGGATTCTTTCACATCGTGTGGTCCATAATAAAACATCAAAGTTAAAAAAAAAAATAAAACAGCAGTAGGCTTTGTATTGCTGTGCACCCAGGCTGGCTTTAAACTGGTTCTTCCTGTCTCAGTGTCCCAGTGCTGACATTCTAGGGGTGTGTGTG